TGTTGCTTTCATTGCCTGCGCACTCTTGTGTGCTCCAGCTCGGCTCCCGTGGTCTGTAGTTTGTCTGCGCCTCTCGGCTCCTCCAGAGATACCTGCATGCATGCCTTGTACAGTTGCAGCTGCTCCTGCTGAGGGAGGGCAGTGTTGGACAGGGTAAGGCTCTTGGCTGTGCGTGCGCTTGGTGGTGGTGCAACACATCTCCACCCACAAACTTCATTTTTTAATACACAGAAAAGTTGCCACCATGTGCTGCACTGTAAAGAACATGCTTTGCACTGTACGCACTAGTGAAGCTCAACCAGTGCAAGTTGCATTCATTGTTATCATGATAAGGGTTTTTGCTGGCTGCAAGCCACCCTGCAGCTCGCATAATATCCAGCAACAGGAATAAACACCAGACAGGAGCACCTTTTTTTTTATCCCGGAAAACATCTACTCAGCTGAAATTATATCTTGCAATAAATCCTAAGGGCCATGGACCCACTTACACAATTAACAGAGCAGACCTCGCTGCAATTTGGTAGCTCTGCAACAAGGGCCCTCTCATACCCTAATCAGGTGCACGCAACCACAGATAAATAGCATGAACATAAGTGGACACTACCAAGCACTCAGCAAAGGAAACTACGGACCTTACATCGTCACTATGGATGCTAGAAGTACAGAAAGGCCACACTCCCTGGAGATGGAAATTCCAGAACATCCAACGAAACATTCCATACTGGCTTCTCCCATCCAGACAACCACCAAAAATACGCATCTCAGCTGCCCTGATGGCATCGTAGTCCTGCCCCTAGAAGGCAGAGACGCCACACATCACCCGCAGAATATGAATCCCAGGGACAGGTATCCACCTCATTGAGCCTAGATTTTGCTCTGACACCAAGCTTGTACAGACTCTGCTCACTGCATAAAATCAACACAAACACACCATAGAGAGCCTACGCACAAAAACTCTCCTGGGCCGACACCGCAATAACAGAGCCAAATTACACACCATCCTAATTGGAGTTGCTCCACCTTCAATCCCTACCCTATTGATCCCCTCTGCAAACTTGGCCTAACCAAAGACAAAGCTCACAAAACTGCCAAAGAACTCCACTATCACGCTGTAAAGTCCCTAACAAAAATTCACAACACCAAAAATGCCATCCAATTCAGTAGCATAAGCAATGGGGTTGGGCGGGGGTGGGGAAGGGGGCAGCTGGATTGGCTGCTTGCAGGAGAAGGAAGAGCGCAGCTGGACGGATGGCCGATTCCCCGCCAGTCCCACTTTGGGCTGGGCTAGCTGAATCTCTACTTTGACCCAAGTTGTACAGCAGCTTTTGTCTTTCTCAGGTCACCGCTGGGCGCCCGGCGGCTGTGCTGCATTCAATGTGTGCACGTGACAAGTATGCAGGCCGAGGAGCACCTGCGCACAATGCCACGCCAATTTCCCAAAGGTTACAGCATTGCGTTGCAGCATCGATATCCCGGTGCATCTGGTACGCAAGCTGTGGTGAATACTTCACACTTGTGCCGATCACGAAACATACCTGCATGGACCTGCCTCTCACCTCTCATTCCCCTTGCCCCTCCATGTCCCCCTCCCCTCCTAGTGCTTGCACCCCCTGTCCCCTCCATCACCGATCCCCCCTCTCGCTCAACTACCACCTGAGGTTGCTCCCCTGAATCGGTCTTGCTAGAGCACCCCCTTCCCTGCTGGAGCTCGCTGAGGACTCTGCCTGTTGCAACTGCTGCTGCCGCTGCTGCTGCTGCTGCCGCTGCTGCTGCTGCTGCTGCTCATGCCTTTCCTTGCAAGCAGGGCACTCGCGCAGCCGCCTGGACTCGCGCTCGACCTCAGTCTTCCGGCCACATGCACAGAGGGCTCCACTGTCATGCCCCCACACCGGCAGCAGCACTTGGTGGTCCTGAACTCGTTGGCTCTCGCAATGGTTGCAAGGGGTGGCCTCGCGAGCCACCAGCGCCACGCAGCACATTGCGCACCCGAGTGTTGTGCACCATTGTTGGGGCGGTGAATTTGTGGACCCGTTCGTGAGCTGGAGGCACTTTGGCGAGGCCCCCACCGCCATGCACTTCACCCGCTGCTTGTCTGTCCCCTGTGTGTGTGTGTGTGTGTGTGTGTGTGTGTGTGTGTGTGTGTGTGTGTGTGTGTGTGTGTGTGTGTGTGTGTGTGTGTGTGTGT